TTGCCCTGCACTCACCTATTGCCTGAGCCCTGAGTCGTTTGATCATTGATTCACTTCGAAGACTTTTATTTTTGTTCCCTTCCCCCTTTGACTACTATGGATACTTCTATATGGTTATATCTCCAACGGGTAGTCTCCCTTTCACTAATGCTTTCACTAATGGTATGTACATTCCTGATAACAGTACACTGTCGTCACAAGCTTCTCACCTGTCTGGAATCTGGTCGGCGGCAGGGTGGTACTCCAGCTTCACCCTCGCTGCATTGTTCTCGGCGATGAGCCCTTCCGACTCCCTGTCGTTGATGTGTCCATGGTGGAAGAGCTCGTGGACAACCTCTCGGTGCTGCACCAGCATGTACTTCGCCGCAACCTATCGTTCGTGGCAAGCAGTTGCATGCATGCATGCATGTGTGCGGATGTCAGTATTTTTTTGTCGATTATACGGGGGGGGGGAGACGAGGAGGGGGCGGTAAACGCTCTTGGGACGATACCGCTGCCTGCTACGCTAAGCGCGTGTGCGTGTGTTTCTTGAATGTGCATCGACCGCGCCAGCCGGCTGAACAGCGAAAAGGCGTCTTAATCTTTGCAAAAGTGGGACAGAATAGCAGCAACGAACACGCGTTCTATTCATTGGGGTATCCCGCCGCGCGCGCCTGAATGCATGTGTTCTCTTTTTCTTTTCGATGGGTCCTTTATCTTTTCGGTGCCCCTTTCCCACGGGGAGGCTTGGGCCTTCCGAAACACGCAAAGCAAGACCGTTCCCGTACATGTACTATGGGTACAATAACACAAAGCCACTAAACAAGCTATGGTCGCACGTAAAGCAAGAACAAAAAAAAACACGTACTAATAGATAATCTTGCACGAGAACTTATCATTACCAGCCGCAGCAGCAGCAGCAGCAGCAGCAGCAATCAAGGTCACCAGGCCGCTGCTGGGCAGGTTGGCCACAGGACACATGACACATGACATAACAAGACGCAAGGAAACACGAAAACAACTACTCACCCGAGTCTTGAGCGAACGGGCCAGCTCGGGGAACACCGGCAGCTGCTGGGACAGCGTGCTCCTGGCGTCCTGCAGCTGCCGGTTCTTCTCGAGCGCCAGCTGGTAGGCCACCGGCCCCTCGTGAAGCAGCTCTAGGATGTCCACGTCCTCGTGGGCGGAGATGAAGTTGGAGGCCAGCTCGAAGATGAACATCAGCCTCCGGTACATGTACGACTCCACCAAGCTGTATTATTGGGGGGGGGCGGGGGACGGGTCGTAGATGAACATCAACCGCCGGTACATGCACGACTCCAACATGCTATTTAAGTTAGGGGGGGGGG